AAATCATTTATGCTAGTTGAATTATTAATTTTATTTGCTCAATATAACTATTTAGATTAAACCCATTGCGACCCATAATTAATTCTGATAAAAATTATGAGTGCCTGGTTAATGATATTATTGACATGTTTCTATTTGACCTCGATGCTAACGGTTTTATCAGATGGAAAGATATTTTTTCATCGCAACTACAGATAAATTTAACGAAAACCATAGCCATTGATATATACGACTCGGATGTCATACTATCACAGGTTATGTCCACAAAGCAAACCCTATTCACATACTTTCAATGCATTGAATTGAATGCTATATTATTGGTGTTATTCATTGCATTCATTCTGTCATTAATTATAACAACAATAAAACAAAGTTTTGACCAAATTTTCGCAGATTTTCTCCATATATTTACATCGATGTTCTCCAAATCCATACATTCCTCACTTAATCCACAAAATAGTTATCTCGCAAAAGCATTCATTGGTTTCTGGCTATTATTCGTGACATACCTGTCCATACTGTTTGGATCGAATCTATTGGACTACATGATTACACCCATATCTCACGCGTACATAGACTCGTGGGACGACCTCTACCGGTGGACACATCTTAAAATACTCACATCTTACGACAATCGGATTCATAATTTTGCTGACACAGAGACAACTGAAATGGCTATTAATTTTGGATCAAGAATTGATATACTTATGCAAGAATCGGTTAATGAGACCATAAATTATGCTAAAAATTCTCTGTTATCAAAGAATTACGTTGGTGTTTTAGCCAGACCAGTTTTACTAAGAGTGTTAGCCAGTTTTCTAAACGACAACCCACAATTATTGTCCACCATGTACATATCGCGTTATGGTGGTGGACATTTACCACATTTCTTAGCAGTTAATACACGTATTAGTTATCTGTTTGACTGCTTAAATAAAATGTAACTCCTCATTTATTATAAATTTATTATAAATATTATAATATTATAAATTATTTTATATAAATTTGTATTTTCATAGTATATTACAAACGCGTGAATCTGGTCTATACGGGCATTGGTCTGAAAAGGCATTCAATCATTTGGGAGACATTAAGCTATTTGATCCCAATATTGATTCAAATCCGGGTACTTATGAATCCATATCATTGAGACATATGGTGGGGTTATTTTATATCTATGCCATATGTATAAGTATATCAATTATTATAATTATTTTTGAGTTTGTTATTTCAACTGTAAATTGATTTTAAATAAATATAAATAAAATGATATCATATAATAATAAATATCATATTTAATTATATTAATATTATTAATACTAAATTAATGATATATTTTATTTTTATGAAAACATTTGTTGTAAACAAGTATAATATTGTAAAACAATTAGGTTAATTGATTTTACATATTATTAAAAAATTATAATTTGTTTAAATGACTTCTAAAAAATAATAAATATGTTACTTATTTGTAAGACATGTTACTTGTTTGTAAATGTTAAAGTTAAAATTTATTTTTATTACATATGAAAATGGCAGATGTTACAAATTGCTATTTATTGTCAAACTATACATTAAATAGTGACCACAAAAGGGTTATGGCTTTTGTATATTATGACCCGATACCAAATTATATTATTAAACATTATGGTAATCAATACATTTGCGGACCACTTATATCAATACTAAAGGAACTGGCTATACAGAATAATATTTTGTAAGTAGAATTCTGTAGTATTTAAATTGAATAGTTTATATCAATTCATAAACAAGATCATTTATTTACAATAATTAATTTATATAGCTACCTAGTATTATATAAATATTATTTGTATTTGTACAATTACAATAATTAAAATTATAATTATAATAATTTCTAAAATTAAGCATTTTCCAATAGTTTATATAAATACTAGTATATTATATATTTAATGTTATCTTGCTCATTTACCATTAGATTGCAGCCATTAAAAGCTTTGCGAGACGTAAACACATTCATGGATTCCGTAGTCAATCACACCATAGATGTCATACTCTGTGAACTAAACACCGATTTTTATTTATCTATCAAAGATATAGCACCGGTATTTGACCTCAACTTCACACACAGTATAGCCATAGATATACAGGACACGGATGTCATACTATCCCGGGTTATGTCCGCAAAACCGTCGGTTTTTACTTATTTTCAATGCATTCATACGAGTGTTGTATTTATAACGGGTGTAAAAAAAGGTACGCAAAATGTTTTTAATTTATTATTAAAAAACTACAAAAGATATCTGGAACAAATGAATTTTAAATTAAAGATAAAAGTATGGGATTATGTTTTGAATAATAAAATAATTTTCATCTGATATGCAAATGAGTTGTTACGTAATTGATTTGAACCCCTTGTTTACATAATGATTACTCAATATCTATGTAATCGAGTCCAGTGTGTGACCGACTATATGATTGTCCGTGCGGTCGATAACTTTAATATACGGCTCGAAAGCCTGGTCCTAATGGGTGGCAAACATTTTGAGACAATTTTACATTAAGTCCAATACTTTTATCTTCAAAATTCTTTTTATTCCATTAAATTATCTTTTATTGTTTTTGTATAATAAAGTAAAAACTTTTTGCGTACCTTTTTGAACACCCGTTAGTATTATTTTTAGCATTGATTTTATCGCTAATTGTATCGTTAAGACAGAAAAAGATTCAAAGATTTGTCACATATTTTATGGATATATTTATGCTGTTGTGCTCGAAGTCATTACCAAGATCACTTAACTTTCACAAACATTATGGTATAAAAGCATTAATTGGTTTTTGGTTACTATTCGTAACATACCTGTCCATACTATTTGGTATATACCTATTGGATTACATGATTACACCCATACCTCACGCATATATAGACTCGTGGGAAGACCTGTACCGGTGGCCACACCTAAAAATAATAACCAACGAAATGGATATGATTCACACGTTTACAGAATTGGAAACCAATGACATGGCTATGAATTTTAGGTCCAGATTTAAGTTATATTATCAAGAATTCAATGATAATAAATCGGTCTGGCTTATCCTGTTTCATGTTAGGTAAATTATACATCATCGGAGTGGTGCTAATCACTAAAATTTGTGGGACCGATTAGCTAAATGATCCGTTTACATAGTCCTATATATGTTTATAGATATATATAGTGCTATACCTGGGATATTCACCACATTTTTTGGCAGTAAATCCAAGAATTGGTTACCAATTAATGAGTGGTTTAAATAAAATGTAAGAATTATTTGTAATTTTATGCAAAATATATTGCTTTAAAAATATTGTAAATAAAATTATGTTATAATTTTCATATAATTTTAATTATTTTCCATAGCATATTACAAACACGTGAATCTGGTCTATACAGACATTGGTATGAAAAGGTGTATAAACATATCGGGGACATTCAACTATTTGATCCCAACATTGATTCAAATCATGTTAAATATGAATCCATATCATTGAGACATTTGTTGGGATTGTTTTATATTTATTTTATAAGTGGATGTTTAGTAATAATGATCATTATAATAGAAATCCTAATAAATACTAGGTTACTTAGCTTTATTATAAGTAAATAGTACATTGCAAATATAATCTCAATTTCAATTACTTTTAAGTATTTTAAATTAGTAAGCATTAGCAGTATTTTAATTAATTTGAATTAATTTAATAATAATAATTGTTTTACAGTAATTGTATTATATATTATAAAAATGCAAAATAATCAATTTCAATTACTTTTAAGTATTTTAAATTAGTAAGCATTAGCAGTATTTTAATTAATTTGAATTAATTTAATAATAATAATTGTTTTACAGTAATTGTATTATATATTATAAAAATGCAAAATAATTTAATATATTTAATATAATTATTGCACTAAAATATATACTTGACAAATAATGTATTATATGGTATTACTAAAAATTTTATGTAGATTTCTTAATTGTTGTTTATATAGCAATTGATAAATAATTAATAATATATCAAAAATAAAATGTAATTTAAATCACATTAAACAGATGCTTTGATTCCTTGTATCTTTACCGTCCAATTTAATATTACCAAGGTGATCGATACCATAGTATCCGACGTCATAATAGAGTTTTAATGCAAAATACTCTGAACAACAGAGTGTGTAGTTAGAGGACAGTAGGGTCTGAAAGGAGTGATCACTTATAGACTCCAACGATGTCTTGAGACCATTGTTGGCAAACACGGGAACCGTTTCACAGCTCAAGAGCAGCCATTTGTACTGTTCCTGAGATGTCCGCCACTCATCCCTACCCATGAAGTAATTGATCGTACACTTGATCTCCGAGTAGTCCATATGTAAAGCAAACACCCGGTGCTCGAGGTATACGGGTGGAGGGGGTGGTAGTGTAGAGCTAATGGGAATGTCTGCCGACACCTCCCGGGGTTTGGTATACGCTATGCGAAGGATTCGTATGAAATCTCCGGTCCCGCGCCTGAATGACATCCGTTTCGTGTCAATCGATACCACTATTGAGTAGATTATAAGAAATATTATCAAAAATCTTTCTTAAATTCAAATAATTAGTGAAATATCTATTTACTTGACTTGAGTTTTACATCCAATGACATCGCACTACAAAAGTTTATTTCCGGGTTTTCGGACAACCATTTCGAGGCATTCCGTAATACACAGGACTGGGACTCGAACTTAGGTTTCCTAAACACACCCCCTTCCAGATACTGGGGCACAAAGTCAGCCAAACCTACCTCCTCCTCATTTATGGGTCCCAACATGTAAAACACTCTCAACACGTAGACTATCCTACCAACCCATGAGTCGGACACATTGGTCTGGGAGTCTATCTCCCAGTCTGGAGTAGCACTACAGGCCAGTGTCTGTACATTCAATATCTTTCCCGTAATCACTTCGGCATTAATCGCACCGTTAAGTCGCGCCACCACCTCATCGATGCTCTCAAACCTATTACTACTTGAGTCCAGAATCTGGGGCTCAAAGTCGCGGAACTGTATCTGCGGTACAATCGGACGCACCTTATCGTTGAACTCCGAGCTATCAAAGGGTCGGACCCATAGACGCAACAGTTTCACTCGAAAACATGCCGTTCCCTCTGAGACGAGTGTGTCATACGACGCTCCCCATTGACTCAGTAGGCCTTCATCGTTGATAGAGTAAGTGGTCAGTAGTTTTTTGTAGGTAACTGTCCCGCCCTTTGAGAACTTAACCGTTATTATGTCGCCTACAGTCTCGCACGATATGACATCCCATACCTCCCGCTTCTGTAGCCAATTGTTTGCGAAGTCTATTATGGCTCTATTTATAAAATAACAAATACATGACGTCTATGACGTATTTGCCATATAAATTAATCAGGATAAATTAGTAATTTAATTTCAAAGTTTTGCCAGCATTTCTCATTGAAATTACATGGGAATTTTACTTCATTCTTCATTATTTACTCTAAACTCGCTTAATTTTCATATACCTGTATCTTGGTCAATTTTATTGCGATTTTTGAAATTCCACCATCATTCTGCTTGACAATAAAATGCACTTTGTATCATGTTATGAATTTTAAAATTTACCAAAAATTGTGTTTCTAACATTTTAACCATAAGACCTAGAACAAATTTGAATACCTCATTGGAAAGAGCACAGAAAACTAGTCTAGATAAGTTTTTAAATACAAATTTTTAATTAAGATTTTGTAAATTTAATAAAATTATAATATTAATCATAACAATAACGTGTTTTTTAGTTAAATTAAGCTAGCTTGCCTATTGAAATGTCAATTTAAAATAAATGTTAAATTCTAATCTGAACTATTTTTTGTGCTCTTTCCAATGAGGTATTCAAATTTGATCTAGGTCTTATGGTAAAAATGTTAGAAACACAATTTTTGTTAAATTTTAAAATTCATAACATGATAAAAAGTGCATTTTATTATCAAGCAGAATGATGGTGGAATTTCAAAAATCGCAATAAAAATGACCAAGATACAGGTATATGAAAATTAAGCGAGTTTAGAGTAAATAATGAAGAATGAAGTAAAATTCCCATGTAATTTCAATGAGAAATGCTGGCAAAACTTTGAAATTAAATTACTAATTTATCCTGATCAATTTATATGGCAAATACTATACCATTTGATTACGTAATTATCCAGCTACATTTTGGTGAAAACAGATTAAAAATCGGATTATCCATTCAAAAACTATTCAAATTATTCCTTTCACAGATAGAAGATGTCATATACTGCCAGATACATTATCATATACTGCCAGATATATTAAGCCAGATACAATAATTTATTATTAATTTTAATACTTAACGTCATTTACTATGGTTATTTTACATAACTTATGTAATATAACTTATTAGTTTTGATTTATTTCACCAAGGCTACTGTAACTCATAGCGACATGTATTATATAGTAAACAAATGTGTTATTTGAAATAAGTTATTTCAAATAAATCCATATTAAATTGTATAACTCTATTGCAATATATTGTAAATAGTAATGTGCACTATTCAAGTTGGTAAATAATTTTAATAAACTAGATATAATGCTAAATAATTTATAATGAAAACTTTAAATATAATTACGGGTATTTTATTCTAGGTACACCCTACGAATAACTTTTAAATACCGGTGAAAAGTCTACAAACGTTAGCCGACAGTCCTCGGGGGCCGGTAGGTCCTCGTCAAAGGTCACTACATCGTCGTCATGTCTATCAAAGATATCGGGTATATATATGAAACGATATTCCTCTTGAGTTAAGATATTTCTCTTGAGTGAAACAATATTCCTCTTAAGGTAAGATATTCCTCTGGAGTTAAGACATTCCTCTTGAGTGAAACGATATTCCTCTTGAGTTAAGATTTTCCTCTAGATTTAAGATATTCCTCTTGAGTTGAGATATTCCTCTTGAGTTGAGATATTCCTCTGGAGTTGAGATATTCCTCTGGAGTTGAGATATTCCTCTAGAGTGAAAGATATTCCTCTAGAGTTGAGATATTCCTCTTGAGTTGAGATATTCCTCTGGAGTGAAAAGATATTCCTCTGGAGTGAAAAGATATTCCTCTTGAGTTAAGATATTCCTCTACAGTTAAAAGATAATATTCCTCTAGAGTGAAACGATATTCCTCTTGAGTTGAGATATTCCTCTTGAGTTAAGATATTCCTCTAGAGTGAAACGATATTCCTCTGGAGTTAAAAGATAATATTCCTATAGAGTGAAACGATATTCCTCTGGAGTTAAGACATTCCTCTAGAGTGAAAAGATATTCCTCTAGAGTTAAGACATTCCTCTAAAGTTAAAAGATAATATTCCTCTGGAGTGAAACGTGTTCCTCTTGAGTTGAGATATTCCTCTGGAGTGAAAAGATATTCCTCTGGAGTTAAGACATTCCTCTAGAGTTAAGATATTCCTCTTGGGTTAAGATATTCCTCTATAGTGAAAAGATAATATTTCTCTGGAGTTAAAAGATTCCTCCAGAGGAATATCTTTTCACCCAGGAGGAATATTATCGTTATTTCACTCCAGGGGAATATCTTAACTCCAGAGGAATATTATCTTCTGTTCGCCCAGGAGGAATATCTTGAGCATACTTATTTATATAATTAATTATAATAATATATATTAATGATTGTTATCTATTACCAAATATCACAGTGTGCCCAGGGTCAAAACAGTAGTAATCATATGACTATAACTTTTCTATATTTTGATGTCATTCCCATTTACATTGTACAACATTATGGCAATGAATATCTATGCGGTCCTCTCATAGCCATGCGCTGGCTGGGCTAAATGTGCTGGCTAACAAACAAAATATTTTGTAAGTTTTATTTAAAAATCATTTATGCTAGTTGAATTATTAATTTCATTTACTCAATATAACTATTTAGATTAAACCCATTGCGACCCATAATTAATTCTGATAAAAATTATGAGTGCCTGGTTAATGATATTATTGACATGTTTTGATTTGACCTCGATGCTAACGGTTTTATCAAATTTAAAGATATTTTTTCATTGCAAATACATATAAATTTAACGAAAACCATAGCCATTGATATATACGACTCGGATGTCATACTATCGCGGGTTATGTCCGCAAAGCAATCGCTATTCACATACTTTCAATGCATTGAATTGAATGCTATATTATTGGTGTTATTCATTGCATTGTGAAAAGATATTCCTCTGGAGTGAAAAGATATACCTCTGGAGTGAAACGATATTCCTCTTGAGTGAAAAGATATTCCTCTGGAGTTGAGATATTCCTCTAGAGTGAAACGATATTCCTCTTGAGTTGAGATATTCCTCTTGAGTTGAGATATTCCTCTTGAGTTAAGATATTCCTCTGGAGTTGAGATATTCCTCTGGAGTTGAGATATTCCTCTGGAGTGAAAAGATATTCCTCTGGAGTGAAAAGATATACCTCTGGAGTGAAACGATATTCCTCTTGAGTGAAAAGATATTCCTCTGGAGTTGAGATATTCCTCTAGAGTGAAACGATATTCCTCTTGAGTTAAGATATTCCTCTAGAGTGAAACAATATTCCTCTTGAGTTGAGATATTCCTCTTGTGAGTGAAAAGATATTCCTCTAGAGTTAAGATATTCCTCTAGAGTTAAGATATTCCTCTGGAGTGAAACGATATTCCTCTGGAGTTGAGATATTCCTCTAGAGTTGAGATATTCCTCTTGAGTTGAGATATTCCTCTAGAGTGAAACGATATTCCTCTAGAGTTAAGATATTCCTCTAGAGTTAAGATATTCCTCTAGAGTGAAACGATATTCCTCTGGAGTTGAGATATTCCTCTAGAGTTAAGATATTCCTCTGGAGTGAAACAATATTCCTCTTGAGTTGAGATATTCCTCTTGAGTTAAGATATTCCTCTGGAGTTGAGATATTCCTCTAGAGTTGAGATATTCCTCTTGAGTTGAGATATTCCTCTTGAGTTAAGATATCCATATCGTGATATATATAGATATTTGTATATATCCTGATACATTTGCCTAGTAAATCGATTAGCCAGGGTGTTTAAAATCACTAATCGTGGTGAGGCTACTACATATTAAATGGATTGTACTTTGTTAATAAGCCAGGCTGATTTATTATCATTGAATTCTTGATAATATAACTTGAATCTGGACCTAAAATTCACAGCCATGTCATTGGTTTCCAATTCTGTAAACGTGTGAATCATATCCATTTCGGTGGTTATTATTTTTAGGTGTGACCACAGGTACAGGTCTTCCCACGAGTCTATATATGCGTGAGGTATGGATGTAATCATGTAATCCAATAGGTATATACCAAATAGTATGGACAGGTAGGTTACGAATAGTAGCCAAAAACCAATTAATGCTTTTATACAATAATGTTTGTGAAAGTTAAGTGATCTTGGTAACGACTTCGAGCACATCAGCATAAATATATCCATAAAATATGCGACAAATCTTTTTCTGTCTTAACGATACAATTAGCGATAAAATCAATGCTAAAAATAATATCAAGTCATAATATACAAAAGTTATAGCCCTTTGGTGGTCACTATTTAATGTATAGTTTGGTAATAAATAGCAATTTTTAAGATCTGCCATTTTTATATGCAATAAAAATAAATTTTAACTTTAACATTTACAAACAAGTAACATGTCTTACAAATAAGTAACATATTTATTAGTTTTTAAAAAAGTCATTTGAATAAATGATACTTTTTTAATAATATGCAAAATCAATTAACCTAATTGTTTTACAATATTATACTTGTTTACAACAAATTTTTTCATAAAATATAAAATAGATCATTAAGTTAGTATTAATCATATAATTAAATATGATAATTATTATTATATCATATCGTTTTATTTATTTCATTTACAATCTATTTATAGTTAAAATAACAAACTCAAAAATAATCATAATAATTGATATACTTATACAAATAGCATAGATATAAAATAGCCCAAACATATGTCTCAATGATATGGATTCATAAGTACCCGGATTTGAATCAATATTGGGATCAAATAGTTTACTATTAATGTCTCCCAAATGTTTGAATGCATTTTCAGACCAATGCCCGTATAGACCAGATTCACGCGTTTGTAGTATACTATAGAAAATATAATTTATATAAAGTATATAATAAGTAATAAATGAAGAGTTACATTTTATTTAAGCTGTCTAACAGATAACCAATCCGTGTATTAACTGCTAAGAAATGTGGTAAATGTCCACCACCATAACGTGATACGTACATTGTGGATAATAATTGTGGATAGTCGTTTAGAAAACCGGCTAGCACTCTTAGTAAATCTGACCTGGCTAAAACACAAACGTAATTCTTTGATAACAGGCCTTTTTGAGCATAATTTATTAGCGCATTAACCGATTCTAAAAAAGGTATATCAATTCTTGACCTAAAA